GAAAAACATAAATGGCCAAAAAGCACGCTTTGCTAGCTGCTTACTGGCTGCCAGCAGGCAATCTTATTCCAAACCTTTTGCATCCATTTCCAGAACTAGACTTTGCTGAAACTCAGACAGTGCACACCTCGGCTTGAGCTTGGCTATAGATACATGTTTCCTACATAGGTGGTAATATTGTAAGATTAAAGTTAATTTTTAATTCTTCTATTTATTCATAGCACTAAACTGGATTAAGCGGCCATCTTGACCCAAATCCTGACTATCTTATGTCAAGTGTCTTGACTGTCTTATGGCCTCACTGTCAAGTGGCTCTGATTACTTTCCCTTTTGCTGTACTCAGCACAATTGCAGTGACTCATTTAAATTCAGACTTCCTGACTAGACGATAAGCTCCTTGAGGGCAGGGAAGATATGCATAATGTACAGCACAGAGTAGGTATGCAATAAGTATTTGTTGAATGAATGGATGGTCATCTCTCTCAAGGACTGATACCCAGAGGGAGCCCGGTAGACCTCTTAAGGAGCTAAGGATGCCATCCTAGGCACCATCCCTTGGCAGCCAGCCCAGCTCTCTCTTGCCCAGGCTTATTGTCATAAAATACAGTGCAGGAAGATGGAGAAGCTCAGCAGTCACTGGTCTATGGCCCCGTGTCTATTGTATAAGACAGGACTATATCTCACCGACATGCTCATGCCACTAGCAGAATCTACTTCAAATGTAGTTTCCTAAGAGCAACTGAGAACTATACAGTTTGCCTACAGCCAGTTGGCTGCGAAGTGGGTAGACCCTCCCCCCTTTCCGGGAACCTGACCCCTGGAATGCAGGCAAATGCTAAGGAGCTTCACAGGATGCAGAGCTGGTTTCTGTTCCTGAGAGGGGGAACCTGGTAAAGAGGAGGGTCTTCTTGTGTATGTATACATTTTTATTCCTTCTTACATTGATCGGCTCCTACCATGTGCCTACACTTGACAACTACTGTGAATTCAAGATGAATAAGACAGTCTCTGCCTTGAAGCAACTTGTGGCCCAAGGGGGATGAGGGTAGGAGGGAAGACAAGGCAGCAGAGCTACACCCCGTGACGGTCCCACCAGCCTCCGTTATAAGAGTTCAGACAAGGGGGATGTCATTTCTAAGACAGATTAGAAGAAATGGCTCCATGAGCAAAAAAAAAAAAAAAAAGATTTATTTTTTAAGTGGCAAGAAGGAAAGAGGAGGTAGAAGAAATGGAAGGATCAAAAGCACAGAAGCAGAAAAACGCGGCAGGTGCAAATCTGGCATGTAGACCTGTGGGGGGAATCTAGGAACCCACACTCCTTTAGCCCCAACCTGTGGACTCCTGGGTGAAAACTCTGGCAGTTCCCACGACTTATCTCGTCACTCTAAGGTAATACACACCTAAAGTCTCTTCAAAACCCAAAACACAGGCGTATTGAGAAATCAAAATTCCCATCCCGTCAAAACTTCTGTCTTGCTTAAAGTCAGGGCTTCTTCCTTTCCCCTCCGCCTCCCACTCTCGGCCCTGTTGCAGATTAAAAGCCTGGAATCTGGGAGACGGTGATCATTGGCCTCTTTCTTCTTCATCCAACTCTCCTCCTCTTCTTGCTAACTTCTGACCCTTCAAGATCTTAAGTGCAGGGAAAGAGAAGAGGTAAGGAGAATAGGGAAGCTCTTACTTGGCCCAGACTGTTATAGTGACCTGCATTGGTATTCTCCAGATGTGACAAGTGTTTAAGGCTTACTATTTCTCACAGGGGGCACTTTTGCGGTTTGTTTGGAGGTCTACCTTTCTCCCCAGTCCCTCCACTATGGCTGGGAATCTTTTGCCTTGACTAGGGCATATGTGTCTCCCATCCAGTTGGTCACTTACTGCTCACTCTGCCTTTGGGCATCTCAGGATACCTGCAGCTTCCTTCTGCTGAGTTCTATTTACCCCTCCAAGCAGCCCTTGCAGGCAAGATCTAAAATGACTGACATGGGCTCCTTTGTACACGGCCCCCTCTAGTGTAGTTTACGTGCAGCCCTCATGCATTTTTTTTTGCCCCAGCAAACTCTGGGAGCGCAGGCCACCCAAAACTGTCACTTCTCCCTTGTTCTGCCACCAAAGCAGCTAACCACCCTCTTGTTCATACTTTAGATTTTCCAGGTGAGAGATTGACACTAATCCACTGTGCTGCCAAATTGCAGGGGGTAAATATTGAGTACTTGTTATGGTAGCACTAAAACCACTCTCTCCTGAGTTGGGATGAAAAGGGAGCCTTCTTCACAGGAAGGTGAAGTGAGGTGAAACTCATGATACACCAGAAGCACCTAAGACTCTCTCTTAGGAGTCAACCACCAACTTTTTTATATCCAAAGTCTGGTTGAGGGATTAAGAAATGTGTACCCTATTTTCATCCACGTCTCTTGAAAGCCCTGTATCTCGCTATGCTGTCAGATTTCCCATTGAAATGTAATATCTATTGCCTCAGGGCTTGAGCCAAAATTCCTTTTTAATATTTTGTTGCACTATGTATTATCTCATCTAATTGGCCCTATAACCTTGTAAGGTAGATAAAACAATTCCCTTCTTAGAGAATAGAGAACTGAGCTTCAAATTGACCAAAGTGGCAAGAACAAGTTTTGAATCCAGATCTCTCAGATTCTAGAGCTCTTAGACCATCCTAGGAGGATACATGTGGCTCAGCAAAAGTACTTGATAGATATCCATTGAATGATTAGAAAGTTGATTTGTCTAGATTATAGAGGAATGTGAATGGCTTGATATTAATTGATAGGGAGTGAGAAACCATTGCAGAGTTACAGATGGCAGTGATAAACAGGAAAATGTGACAGAGATATACCGAAGAATTTAGAAGGGAGAAAGAATGGATAGGGAGAGGCACTTTTGGAGGCTATGGAAAGAGTACAAAGAGAAAGTTTTGGGGACGTGGTGAATGTTACTTTAGAGTCATGAGGATAGAAGCCAGATTGAAGGAATTTAAAGAGAGAATGGGCAACAAGGAAATAGAAGCAGTGGTTACGTACCAGTTATCCAAAATGTTAACATCTGAATGGAGGTACAGAAATAGGTCGCAAGCCACAGGAGCTAGCAGGATCAAATAAAAAATATTTTTCCAGGATACGTGAAACCTGATCTTGTTTGTAAATAGAGGAGCCAGAAAGTAGAGAGACTCTGAAGGTGCTGAAGAAAGGAAGAGCTGTTATTGAGAGCAAGGACGAGGGTAGCAGGGTGGAAAGAGAAGGGGTTAGAAGAAAGTGAAGGACACATCTTCCTATAAGACAGGGAAGGAAGAGAGAAGGTAGATAAATAGATAATTATGCTGTGGGAAAAAAAAGAGGTTGAAGGAGATTGCACCTGGTACAGTAAATCTTTATCAGTAAAGTAGGAATCAAAATAATGGATCGGGGATTGGGGACCAAGAGGTGACAGCATCAGTGATTGAGGAAGAGTTTGAAACACCCACTGTGCTATGTGTGTTAAGAAATCAACTGTGGAAATCACCAGTGGATGAATAAATACCATGAACATGAACCATCCAGGACATTAAGGTTCAACAGTCCAAATCAGCAATATTCTGTGGCCAGGGAGCAAAAGGAGAAAAAGCATGTAGCAAGCATTGCCCCAAGCTGGTCGCTGCAGGATAATGAGCTGAGGGCTGAGAGGGTTTAGTTAGCAAGAGTAGGATTAAAATTTCCAGTCATGGCATCCAGACTGCTCAAGAAAGCCAAGTGGGACCAGTGAAAAAATTTAACAGATTTGTGAGATTATCCTGGGACATGCAGTGGAGACAAGTATTTGCTACACTGGATTTGGGAAAATGGGAAAGGTATAAGCGAAGAGGTTATATGGTTATATAGACCAGGCTTACCAGGCTCAGGGGTGGCCTTCTTAGTGAAGGGTTGATATGCAACAGAGCCGGGAGTCTTCTGCTTCAGTGCCTCATGGTACGTAACCTCTTCGATCAAATTGTGAGTCAACCATGAGTTTAGAGTCTAGGAGAAAAGCAGTAGTGGTTTACAGAGAAGCATGTCTTCAAACAATGAGAATCAGAGAAAAGGAGGGATCATAGCTGATGAAAACTCCAGGTTGCCATAGGACATAATCTATCTTCCTTTCTATAATAGCCATTTTTATTACAGGATCTGAACAGGAATATTTAGGACAATGATATGCTGTAGTTGTCCTAAGTTTTAAATGTTGTTTATAGATTGTCTATCAAACATACAACCTCTATTATTTTAAACCTCTATTATCTTAAAAACAAGAGACCTTGTTTATAGTATATACTGCCTCTGGGCATGACTGTACTTAAACTTTCTGAGATAGATTAGTTAGAGTTCCCTTTCACATGTCTTAGGGTACAATGCCATAGAAACCTATAATAAAGACACAGTGAAAACATATAATTATATCTTGCTTTAGGCAACGTGTGCACCCTCATTCTGAAAGATACCACATTAAAAGATCTTTATAGGTAGATTCTTATCTCACTTTTGCCCACCAGTGACCACAGGTATCAAGTCATAGGGTCTCCAGTTAGCTAAGACATGACATGGTACCATTCAAATAAGATTATTACACTCTTTGGGGAAGGAATAAAAATCAATGATACCTAAATCGCTAAAAGAAATTGAATCACAAAATCACTTGCCCAAGGTCACAAAGTGAATTGGGGCCACAGACAATAATCTTTGGGTCCTGTTTAGGAAGTTCATTTAATACCCTATTGATCTTGATATACCCTTAGAGGCAGAATCTTGTGAAGTTTAAGATGATGACATCAACCTGAACAAAGTTCCAAAATTGCCCATCAGTTTCCCCCTCTCACCTCCTTGAACCTTGGTGAAAGCCACTTTGGGAGACAGCGAGTGAGATCAGGCTGTGGGTGACCAGCTCTCCTCACGGGGAAGACCCTGGCTGAGTCTCCAGCCAAATCCTTGAGAATTCCAGGAAGGTAAGTAACACCTAGTCCTTCTGGCTCTTCTCTCCCTTGCAGCTCCGAATGTCCTGGCTCATCCGTGGAGTGTTGCAGGGAAATGTCTCCTTGGTGCTGGTGGAGAACAAAACCGGGAAGGAACAAAGCAGAATGATCTGGCACGTTGCTCCCACGGAAGGCTTGAGCCTGTGGCAGTGGACGGCGCTGCCTCTCCTTGATGTGGCCGACAGGTGGGCCTTTACCCAGCCCCATCAATCCCTTTTCCTGTAGCAGCCAAAATGCAGAGGGGCCCTTGTCTTCCCTCCCCCTATTCCTTCTACCCAAGACACACATCCAGATATGCACAGACACGTGCACACACAAATGTGCACACACATTCTTCCTGCAGACTTACAGGAAGCACTGAGTTTCTCTGAGGGGTTTCCATGCTAATGAGATGAGTATCTCTCACACCTCTGGCCTGGCCTGATTGGCTGCCTCCAGTATCTGTAGGAAAAAGTAGAACCGAACAACTCATATGACCCCCAAAGAATAATCAGGCTTTATGTGTATATGGCATTTGCTCTTAATTAATGGATTTTGCCTTACTTTTCCATCAGACGTTCTATTTATTCCTTATTAACAATAAGAAAACCTGTGACATAGGTAGGACAGACCTTATGGAGCCTCATTCCTGCCCTTTTACAGGGTTCTCCTTCACTGAGAACCAAAGAGGTGAAGCAACAGCAAGTGGGCATTGGAGTGAGGACTGGTGCTCTGGCCAATCCCAGTCCGTGCTCTGTGGAGCCTGGTCCCCAAAGCAGGTGGATGAGAAATTCTTCAGTAAACAGGGGAGTGCTTCTACCAAAGGCCCCGATTCCTAGTTAGATTCTAGGACTAATGCCCTTTGTAACCTTGAACTTCTCTGGACCTCAGTTTCCTCATCTTTAAACTGAGAGGGTTGGACTAGAGGATCATTAACTCCGCGTGGCTCAGAAATGGAGCAGTAACTTCTCTGCTCAACTGCCACTTGTCTCCCCAGGATGGCACCAGTCTGCCACCTGCAGTCGGCCTGGAGCCAGCAGTGCCTGACCAGCACAGTTGCTAATGTGATGCTCCGCTGTGTCACACTGAACTCTCGACAGTTGGTGCTGGTCTGTTCCGGACCAAAAAGTGACGGGGAGGGAGGGACTCATTTATATAAATGGGACAGAAAACTGGATCTGGAAGGGATCTCTAAGCCATCTTTAATAGGCTAAATGTCAAAGCCTACGATCCAGGGCAGCCTCTGCTTTTGACTCCCCAGTACATTCAAATTGCTGTTCTAGTGGATCCTTCGAAAAATGAGGGCAAAGAGCTTAAGACAAAGTGGAGGGTGATGCCCGTTGACACACAGCTTTGTAAATATATAGCTGGGTCTCAAACTCCTCACCCAGATTTCAGAGTCTGCTATTTCCAAGAGTTCATAACTCAAGCTGTGCTGTCATACGAAGCTGCCATCAACCTCTGAGCAGCAGCTTCCCGCTCCTTCAGACGTGTGTGGGTTAAAGATCAAAGCACCTGGACATCCCAGGGCTCAGTGCTGCCCCCAGGACAAATGGATTTAATTAAAATGGAGGAAGGGGCAGTGTGGGCGCCCTCACCATAGACTAGTCTTTTGTCCTTCGGGATTGCAGGGGCTCGTGTGCAGGGCATGGGGAACAGGTGGGTAATGCCAGAGTCCTCCCTCCTGGGAAATGCTAAATTAATTCAGATGAATCAAAAGGTTTTTTTCTCCTCGATCCAGCAAGTCCTCTCTCTTTCATAGCCACTCCAGGGGATTTAAGGCAAGTAAGATGTTGACTCTGTTCACTCCCGTCGGCTAGAGTTTTGTTTGAAGGAGACTTTGTTCTTAGCCCCCCTCCTTCCTGTTAAAGGCTGTTTACCAGACTGACATTTCCAATACTGATATTGAGACCAAACCGTCCTGTGGGGATTCAGACAAAGGCCAGCTTGGTTGAATGATGCCTCGTGACCTAATAAATGTGCAATTACACAAGTGGCCCCATTCACTGGGCGCCTGCCCACCACTGACACGCTCTGATGTGGGATGCTGCCCTCCCCACTCCCTGGAACTAGAGATGATATAGGAGGCATCAAGACCCAGAGGCAAATGGAACTGGAAGAGAATGAGGCAGAGCAGCTTTCACTCGCTGAAATCCAGCTAGTCTGTAGACGTGACTGCCCCATAAAACCAAAGCAGACCTGTGGATGACAGAGCACAGGCTTTAGAGTCAGAGAGTCCCAAGTTTAAACACTGGCTCAGCCACTAACTAGTTGTGTGACCTCGGCCAATTACTGACCCTCTCTGGGCCTTGGCACCTACATCTGCAAAATGAGTATAACATCAGTACAATTTTACAGGATTATTACAAAACTAAATAAAGTAACTGTCAAAAGCATCTATGTGCAGTACATGTCAGTGAAGTTTATTTCCCACACCCTGCATCATCATCCCTTAGTTTTGTGGCCTCAGATAATTTATTGAATAAGTGGCAGAAATCACAACCGCTGATCTTCCAAGTCAAGTCATATTCTATTATTTTTTAAATGTATTTATTTATTTTTGGCTGCATTGGGTCTTCTTTGCGGTGCGGGGGCTTATTGCAGTGGCTTCTGTTGTTGCGGAGCACAGGCTCTAGATGTGCGGGCTTCAGTAGTTGTGGCATGCAGGCTCAGTAGTTGTGGCTTACGGGTTTAGTTGCTCCATGGCTTGTGGGATCTTCCAGGACCAGGGATTGAACCCATGTCCCCTGCATCAGCAGGCAGATTCTTAACCACTGCACCACCAGGGAAGTCCCAAGCCATATTCTATTAAACAAAGATAATAAAGTCTACCTCTTAGGCTTGGAGAAGCAAAGTGCTTGGTGAACTGCCTGGCTCATAGTAAATGCTTAGTCAGTAGTAACTACTAACAATAACTATGATATAATAATAATAATAATAATATCTCCCCATCTAATGCCTCAAAAAAGGCTAAGATGGCCAGTTTAGCAATAATAACCAGTCATGCAACCCTAAGATGGGGGTACGTGTTCATGTGAATTTGTGGTCGTCAATGCTCTGTAGACTTCTTATAAAGGGAAAGCACATACTCCCTCTTACTTTCAGGGAGAGTGAGCTATAGCTGCCCAGATTGCCAGAAAATGAAAATGGGAGGATGGAGAAGGTAGAGGAAGAAAATAAATAAGGGAAAGAGACAAAGAAAGTGGGTAAAAGGCAAAGACCAACTCCCTTCCTCCCGACCCTGAGATAGACATTGGCACCTTACCATCTGCCCACATGCCATGAAGTGTCATTAGGCAGGTCCTGGCTTCAGCTATTCAGCACCTGCCTCTTGGACAGCTCTCCAGCCATGGACCTTGAGAGGGCAAGGACTTCATTCCCTATGCTGTCCCAAATCACCTCTGCTCCCAGGTTCCCCAACCTCCAGGCATTACAAAGTTTTAAAAGCAACTTTATTAGGGCTTATGGATTAGCCCTAAAGAGCTCCCAGGCTCTAGAAACTCGTCATAGCCCCTAGACATTACATGAAACTAGCCTCCACCTAGATATGGCAGTGACCTCCTGTCTTGTCTCCTTGCCTCCATTTTTTATCCCCACCCAATCCAGTCTACACAAGGAAGCTGGAATAAACTTTCTGAAATGTAATCTAATTATTTCTCATTTTTTACATCCTTCCATGGCTTCTGTGGTTTTTAGAGTGCCTTTCAATTTCCTTTAAAGAGACCTTCATTTAGGCCCACATGTGCTCTATCCAACCATAACCTCACCAGCCCCTTTTTATACACTCTTCTATTACTCTACCTGGTAACCTCACTAAACTTCTTTCAACTCAGCTGCATCATGATAAGTTCTTACTTCCAGGCTTTTGCACCTGCCATTCTCTCCACACGCAATGTTATTCTACCTTCCATCTCCCTGATTACTACCCTTCCTTAACTTTTTAAAGAAGCGTCCCCAGACCCCTAGACTGTATAGTATACATACAATACAGTCTCATGACCTTTGAAACACCCTTATAATGACTTATCACTCTTTACTCTCTGTTTTTTATTATCTAAATATACGTGCCAACAAGGCAGGAATCAGGCCTCTCTTATATTGCGGTTTCCTGATTGTGTAGTACCATACCTAACACATATGCCCAATAAATGCATGTTGACACAATAAAGTATTGAGGGAAATTGCATGTATTTTCAAATTCCAGCTGAATTAACTGAGAATTTCACTTACTGGAATCCATCTAATATTCTTCCTCTCTTCAAACTATGTCTAACAAAACAGATAGAATCACATTTTAAGAAATACTACTACACAGTGTTCTGTATATCAGAACAATACCTGTGTCCCATCAGATGAACCCAAACAGCATTTGTTACTCTTGTGACAGGGAGTTCTCTTTAGAGACTTGCCTGGTACCTGCACTCTCTTTGTCTCTGCGCACTGTCCTGCCACAATCACTTTGTAAGAAAGACTTTGATCTTAATTGTGTGCCCTGGTCCTTGTGAGTAGGGAGACCCAGAACTGGGCACTTGAGAGTAAAGAGCTGTATTCAGATTGCTCCCACCTCACAGTAGTCCTTCTGTCAAGACTCAGAGAATGTGCCATAGGTGTATACAGGCCGCTGACAGGGAGGCATTGATCCATGGAAGGATATTTCTTCTGTCCGCTTACAAACCGGCAAAGTGATAGAAACAATGCCATAGTCTGTCTTCATCATGAAGTGATAGGAACTTACAACCTACTATAAATAGTAGCAAGAAAAAGCTCCAAAAGCCGTGCCCAAGATGCTTTGAGCAGTGGCAATGTCCCTGGAGTAGAGACATGTGCTCTCAAGGTAATTTTTTTCTATTTTTTTTAACCTTTCTTTTTTTTTAAATTTAATTGTATTTACTTTTTTATACAGCAGGTTCTTATTACTCATCCATTTTATACACATCAGTGTATACATGTCAATCCCAATCTCCCAATTCATCATCCCACCACCCCCACACCCTGCTGCTTTCCGCCCTTGGTGTCCATATGTTTGTTCTCTACATCTGTGTCTCTATTTCTGCCCTGGAAACCGGTTCATCTGTACCATTTTTCTAGGTTCCACATATATGTGTTAATATACGATATCTGTTTTTCTCTTTCTGACTTACTTCACTCTGTATGACAGTCTCTAGATCCATCCACGTCTCTACAAATGACCCAATTTCGTTCCTTG